ATGATCATCTTCTTGGGTTCTGTATAAAACGACTTACTTGTATTGAGTAGATTAGATGATCTCTTACTTTTTGGTTATCGGATACCCCTGTTTGTTGCTGTTGCATTCCATCATATCCGATTTCTTCCAAGTATCATCAAATCGTTGTCAATATTAACCCATGTCAAGCAAACACGCTCGTAATTGGAGAAATACGGTGTTTCATATCACCCAGTAATGTGATCGTATAAATCCGTGATCGTATGGGCAAAAATATGATCGTTTATAGACAAACAAAGCTCATCTACACTTTTCGTTTTACTTTGTATTTCTTCGTATACGATTATATTTCTCTGTGTACAGTTTGGAGATATACGAACCTCAAAAATGTGATTGAATACGAAGAAACTCAGAAGAAGAGGAAGAGGGGTTACTTCATTTTCTGATAAGCAGAAATCATCAACTTATGTTATCATACTATCGGAAGCTATCTTGCCGAACAAATCCCATTGAATCTGACAGACTTCTAGACTGAGTCTAGTCATCCTAGGAACTCTTTGCTTTGAAGCATGCGCTACGCTACGAGTTACCTATCTATTGTTAGATTCATATCACAAGCTTTTCTGGGGCCGAAAAAAGTGGTCAAGAAAAGTGAGCTCGAGATTATAATTTTACATATCGATCTTAACCAGAATAAATATGGAAACCTCGGATTTAAATCCGAGAGTTATGTGTACTTCAAAAAGTGAATGAGACGGATGAGTCATCCTAGAATGTGTGGACGTAAAAATTATCCTGGCAAACCTTTTCTATAAAACACTTGAATTCTATTGGCTATTGCTCAATCAATAGGATTTAGAGATGAATACAGCTCAGACTTGAACTCTTCGCCTTCATTTACCCTAAGAAAGTCGTTTTTTCCTATAGCTGGATTTCTATTGGTTACTCCTCAACCAATAGGATTTCAAGGCAAACGGAGCTTGGATTAGAGTTCTCCGACCTAGAAAACCTCGAACTATCATCTCTGTGATCGAAAGAACGAGCTCTATTTGTGGATCAACTAGAGTGTAGATAAGAACAGAACCATTTCCCGTTTAATTATCTTTGCAATAGGTGAGTTAGTCTTCTTGTTTCTTTATGTTTTATGCACCATTTTGTAGCTCGTGAAATTCTCTATCGAATGGTATATAATGGTTGGGGTTTTATTTGACTATGATAGGAAAAGTTTCTAACGAAAGCGGGGATAGGTCGATTTTCACATAGGAAGGCATAGGGAATAATGACTATTTTTGCAATAACTGAGGAACGGCTTGACGAATCATTCTCATCTTCGAAATCGACCGAGATATTGTTGAGACTAAACTGTGTAGAAAATTTCATCGCAATCGGACTCTCCTTTCAAAAGCTATCGTGTAAACGGCCGGACTGACACACTGACCGATTCTAGAGTGTACTCACTTTTTGAGTACACAAAAACATGTTAAGATCGTGAGAGAATGATGATTTCATATTGGAAACATAATTGAGTGCTTTTGCTTCCGCTAGAGAACTACAAAAATTGGGTTCCGATTATGAATATATAATATCACTGAAGTTGATCACTAAAATCACATACTTTAGCTTCCTTAGCTATACAACTTAACTGATCAGCACATCAGTTTGTTATGTGATATTTTTGTATGATACGGTAACAATAATCCATATATTCATGAATATTTTTGTCAACGACCTGCTTCTTCGTGAGAAAAGAAGAAAAAGTGGATTTTTTCGAAAAAAGAGGCTAAAAAGAGGAATTTTAAAAGAACAAAAGAAAAGGAGGAAAAAGAGGTGGAGTGGGATGCCAGCTCAAAGCTGCTAAAATGATCATAACATTATAATAGATTTATGTATTTCGAAATATTTTTTTCAAATGATAACTCTCATCTTCTTCTACAAAATAACACAATTTGATCAATAACTTTGTATAAGTTTGTTGTAGATATTATGGATTTATAGAGAGGAGTCGAAACTTTCGAACCATCCTTTAGTTATCAAATTCTACGGAATTTAAACCTAGCAAGAGAATCTGTAGCGCTTACCATTCTAAACGAAAAAAAAAGTCTTTCAATTGACTCTCGGTGCTGGCTTGGCTTAAAAGTTGAGCCTACCCTAGACTAAGACCGCTCCGCCGCCCATGATCAGATATTAATATTGTATCGAATAAGAATGAATTTTTAACACACAACGTAGAACACTGTCATTGTATAAATAATTGATATTTCCTTAATGTACCTTATCGTTGAACTCTTGTTGAATAATTTTTTTCGAATGGCTTGATGTTGATATATCTATTCAATATGTTTTCAAATCTTTCACATTTGTCTGTTTATTGAAGAATTTAGAAAAACTAAAAAGATTTTTCTCATTTTTTCTCTACTTTATTTTGGATTGATAATATATAGAAGGGATTATTGAAGATATCTTCACATGACTGATTAAGAATGGCTTCAATAAATATGTTAAAAAAATTTAAAATATCGACGAATCACTTACTATTTAAGAATTCGGCCTATTTTTTCATCTATTTTAGATGAAGAAATTGATGGTTTTTCTTTATAACATTCAAGATCATTATCAATTGAAGAGTTATTGCTAACTAATAGAGATGATAATATTATTAATTCTAGTACTACCAGCCTGGATCATTTTTGACCCCATTTTCAGATCTCCTCCTTAATAAAGGAATTTTGTACTAGGTCAAGTGAAACAGCCTGATATTTTCGAGATACGTGGTGGCTGTAGTGAAGAGACTATGGTAAAATGTTCATCTCTATATCATGATGTTTAAGGGAAATACGTACTAACCAAACAATGATAAAAAATACCTCATTTGGCAACTTAAATTTCTCTTGTGTTGCGTATCTAATATATTTGATATTTTTTTTTGTTCGAAAGATAATGTCAAGGTGTAGGACAAGACGAAGCTATATTTTTTAAACTTAGAAGAGCTCGGTCATGCTCTGCATCCTGACATGTTCTTTCGAACAAAAAAAAATATCAAACATATTAGATACGCAACACAAGAGAAATTTAAGTTGCCAAATGAGGTATTTTTTATCATTGTTTGGTTAGTACGTATTTCCCTTAAACATCATGATATAGAGATGAACATTTTACCATAGTCTCTTCACTACAGCCACCACGTATCTCGAAAATATCAGGCTGTTTCACTTGACCTGGTACAAAATTCCTTTATTAAGGAGGAGATCTGAAAATGGGGTCAAAAATGATCCAGGCTGGTAGTACTAGGGTGAATAAAATGTAAAATATAAATGAAAAATATTAATAAAATATTAATTTTCTATACTAAAAGCTTTCAGATAATAATGTGCTATCATGAAAACTATGATAGATTGTTGGAATTAATGAATGAATTGCAATCAGTAGAATAAAAACGATAACAAAAGAAAATGAAAAATAAACAATGAAATAAACTTGATCGAAAATAATTAGAATTTTTTATTAAATTTTTTATTTTATTCGTTATTGAATGTTGAAGTAATGTTGGATGAAGTTCATTTGCTTTTTGTTCTAAGATTTGATAAAGACCAATGTTATACGAATAGTCAAATAGATATTTTGACAGGCCTAGGTCGAAGATGTATGACTGGATTTGATGAGTTTCTAGCGAATTGCAAGAGAAGAAACCTCGCATTGATTCAGCCTTCGTTCCCACAAATTCCTGAACCAGAAAGTGATCTTCAGATTCGAAAACTGGATTCGGCGATAAAGAAAAAGTTGCTTCTTTGACTTGATCCTGTTGCACTGATGTAAAAGAATAACTGCGAAAACCCATGAAAAAAGACTATAATTGATTAAAATCGAGGAGAAAACAATAGAGATTCCGGCCTTGAAGTCTCATGAAGTAATTAAAAATTCCTATGAATGTAGTGTGGTTATGTGTGTTAGACTTTTATTCATCCAGTCACTAGTGAATATAGAAGCGTATGAATTTACACTCTAATTTCAAATCCTTGACCACCGTATATCAAGCACTGTCTTGCATCTAAATATGGAATAAATCATTCAGCTCGAACACGAAATTTGTACTTAACTTTGCCTTTGAATTGGGTGTTCAAACAATCGCCTGACAGAGTGTTCAATGAAGAAATTTCTTTCATCACAATCAGATCATTCGAGGAGAACTACTCCAAAGATGATACTGATATATATTTAAACAGAGCAATGCTATTATAGTTCCTTTAATGGTATATTTCTATAACTGATATGTTTAGCACACGATGCACGGCACATGTGCTGTTTGTGTTTTATAATTTGTAGACGATTAAAAGTAGACTGTTATATCGTTAGAGAAGTGTAAATAATAATAAAATGAAGATTATGCAATATGCTGCATTGTCAAATGTTTTTTGTTGAACACTATGTTTCATGTGTTTAAGACAAAGTGAAGGTAAACTCTTTCTCATCTATATTTGTGTATTAATATTTTTTAAAATAGTTATTTCAACTTTTCTTCATTCTGTTTTCGACTGTTCGTGGTGAATTATGCTCACTTTTCCAAGTTCAAATGAGAATGGTTTTTTATGTATGTGTTGGTCATAGTGAATCTCTGTACTCTATCATTGATGTTTGCTATATCGCACAAAAAAGTTGAGAATGAGTTAGTCACAAAAAACTACTGATGCAATTATTATTAACCGTGGTCATATGAAAATCATTGAGTTTATCAAATTTTTGCATCTATACAGGTAAGAGTTCGTTTTTTTCCTTTATACATAGTTCGCATCTTTCTTTTCCTATAAATGAATATATGATATAAAGGACAAATGTCCCAAAATTTTATTTGAACTGCAGATCAATAATAGAAATATTAGTCCGCATGTTAAAATATTCATTTTCCAGCGACATTATTTAAGAACGAAAATTGTCAAAATCTTGTCAAAATAATTTTGAATTCCAATGGTGGCCTGCTTGAGAGTTTCACCTTTGGACGATTGTCACATGATCTAAAACAGATCATGTCAGGCGTCAAATTTGTTCATATTATCATCATATTTTTGCCCATTATCAACAACACAACATAGCTGAGATAAGACTCGATGTTGAGATGACTTTGGTTTTTTAGTCGATTTAACATGAACCTGTTTAGGATTATTTTCGATCGTTGTTTTCATGTTTGTCAGCAAGATGTTGTGTTGTGATTCGAGACCATTGGGCGGTAAACGTTGTTGTGGACGATATTCAGCACCGCGTGGCAAAGATATCTGTGACTCAAGAGATAACCGATGTTGAGCATTGATGAATGTGCTCATGCGACGACCGTTCTGTTGTTGTACAACGGTGAAAATGGGCACAGCATTTGATTGTCGTTTACTACTTGTCTCTTGTATTCGATGATAGTTTCGTGTCATTTTGCCGGTATGTACGTGTCTGGTACTCACTTGAAAACACTTACAGCTCGTATTGATCAACAATTTACGTCCTTATTTTATTAGAATAAGAATCAAAATTTTGCGCTTCTGTCAGTAACATTTTATATAACAAAGAAAAGATAGTATTCGAGCACTTGAAGATAAAATTATTCTTACACATCCTTCTCTTTTTATGATTATGTATCAGAAACATAGTCCAGGTTCTTTTATTGTCTAATATGTAACGAATGAGTCAGATAAAATTACTGGCTTTTGATAAATTGTTTTTTTTTTCGAGCTAGACTAAATCATAAAGTTTCGTTCTGATGTCATAAGATAGAGAATCTTTTGTAGATTTTATTGATACATTATTTTTGGAATAAACATTTGCCGTTCATTGTAGTTTTAAAAGTACTGGATGCCACAAAAAAGTGCTTTGCTTAGCATTTTATCAAAATAAAAAATACGTTTTTTTCGTTAAATTTTCAAACAGAGCATAATAAATAAAATAAACGTGGTTTGTCGAGACACAGACTCGAATTCTTTGGTAAAGTGCAGTTATTTTTAATGTATCTAGAAAATATGCCAAATTATAAATTTCGATTGCTTTCATACCAAGGAAAACATTTCAATTCCATGATACGATGAGAAACATAACATAGGCCTTATAATATAAAACATCTTTTAGAAATTGCAATTCTGTATTTATTTCGATGAAAATTATAATTTTCGTTTGTTTGAGGTTTTGAAAAATTTATCAACAAAAATTAAGATTTCGCTGACTGAAAATATCTTCTGGTTGTTGTCTGTATCTTAAAGAAGAAACAACTGAGTGTGCACAAATCAGCATAATGACAGACACACTACATAATTGTACATGTCATACTGCCAATAATAGATTTTTGATTAAATCAAGGTAGACAAAAATTGATCGTCAAAGTTTGCTAATTTATTAGTTGAGCAAATGATGTTTGTTTTTTTGTAGTATCCGGCAGAAATGGCTCTATCTTATGATATCAGAACTAACCTTTCTGATTTAGTCTAACTTGAAAAAAAGACAGTCTCTCAAAATCCAGCAAGTTTATCTGACTTACCCATTATTTCTGTCAGTCAAATACACTCTAACCTACTATGACAAGGAAAGCAATATTTGTTAACGGAGACTCTCAACTCGATAAAGTATAGAATAGTGCTTCTTATGATTTGATTTTCACTGTGAACTGTTTTCTTTAAGAAGATCGAGACTGAAATTAAATACTTGTAATTATCGGACTTTGACCAAACTTCAATATTAATAAACAAATATTGTAGAAAGATTATGTAACATGAAACACTTCTGACTATATCAAACTTAAGTAGTATAACGTCAATATCATTACTATCAATCAAGGTAGCATTCACTTGCAAGTTCGATCAAAAAAACAATTATATGACATGTTTCATAATTATCCAACAGAGATTTTCATTCATCGTCGTATACTTTTTCTCTGTTCTTCGTCTTCCTACATACGTAGAGTGGCTCGTCATCAGAAAAAAGATAATAGGCAACAAGTGGAGAATAATCGAGCGAAGACTGTTCTTCGCTTGGTATATCGTCATTTTAAATCGTAAAAAAGCTCACGTATATCATCGAAATTGTTCAACAGCTACTTGCGTTTTTTCTATGGAAACTTTCAAAAATTTCTGTATTACGTTTCTTTCATGATAATGCCTTTTATTAACATTCTTGTTCTTTATTTTGCACAGTAATGCTTCAAAAATATGCTTGTGCAATAGCACTGAATTGTCATGAAGTTTTGTTTCATCTGTATATTGATTTTGTACTGTGTTTTTTTGTTAGTAAGAAAAAAAAACCTTTGTTGACAGTCGAGAAAGTGCGCCATTCGCCGATTGCTTATCGAACTTTTATTGCTCAAGTGAGAGCAGCTACTCAAAGATACCGTGTGCAAACACATCATCGTTGCATTAAAACGACGCAAATAAAACATGCACACTAGTCAACCTTTGTTTGACCTTGATGAATGAGTCATGCGATGTATAGAACACATTTATCTCTATTAAAATGTAAGAAAACAATTGATATACATCAATTGCAAATCGGCATTTATCAACGAGTGAAGCAGCGAAGATCGATTTATTCTTTGAGTTGAAATAGTAAGCGAACAAATTTTGTTCGATTTGTCAAAAGAATATGTCTTCATCTATTTATTATGGATGCAAAAAAACATTTTTTTATCTGATACGCTGCGATGAATATTATCAATAGTTTAGCGCTCAATTCGATCGTGACGTGATTAAATTATACGATGAATTGAACAGTCAAATAACGCTTTCCCAGCAAAACAAAGATTCGTTCATCAATGGATGAGGGTCTTCTTTTCATCCATCTACTCATTCGTCCCATGCTACAGCGTGACTAGGTAAGATGAACAACTAATATATGTTTTTTTCAAATGGCAGTCATACTTCGTTTTCAAGACATGTTTGAAAATCAAATGAGCACAAAACATAACCATGCGTATCTCACTATCTTTGAACTTCTGATAATCAAGTATCGATGTGAATTGTACGCGCTTCAGGTTAGCAGCAAGCGCAGGTAATCTTGGTAAAATGTTTCAATCTTTTGACTTGAAACTAGAATAAAACCAGGTTCAAAAGGCATTCCTAAAAATCACATCGATCAATAGCGAAATTGAAATGAAAAACTAAAAAAGACACTCACATATGTATTATGTTAATTATCAATAGCAAATGACTTCTCAACATCAAAATGTTTCAATTCTCGTAAAAGACACGGATGTTTCAGATCCATTTGATTCTCTTTATGTCTTTAGGCGGCAATGCGAATGTCTTGTCTATCGACAAGAGTTTCTGTTTCTTCGTTATTTGGTAACATCTATTTAAGTAATATGTCATAGTCTTCGTTGGCACATTCAAGGTAATGTTTACAAGATTTTATAGCAAAACCATTCACGTAGTTACCACCATCGATCCTCAAATAACAAATAACGCAAAAATAAATAGTAAAAGTAAGTCATTCAATGATATTAGGGGAAAGATTTATCAAAACTTCTTATTTTATAGTATTGATCATCCCAATACGGCTACAGCACTCTTTCGATGTTCTTTTATTGTATGTAACAAGTTCAATTAGTCCTAGTAGTCGGCTGTATCTCACATGAGAACAATTGTTCCTTGATCGATCTTGCCAAACAAGTTGAGTTTAATTGAAAAGAAAATGTCATATTTAAAAGATGATGTCAATACTTTGTGTACTAAGGAAGTGGATGTGGGTGAAAGCAATAACGACATCCGCCATACTCTCAAATAGTTAGTATGTTTTATAAGCTTTGAGGCTCGATAAAATTAGTTTATATGCAAAAAGGGCCTTATTCATAACCGACTGTATCTAAATGAGCTTTGAGTACTGGTATCGGTCTTACTAATCACATACTACTGAGTGACATCTTCTCTTGTTATAATAAAACTATAAACATGAGTATGTAGTGATAAATTCTACGAAATCGACCAGCATAACTTTCTTGAAGATTTTCCAATAGAATACTGAACATATTTCACAGTTAGAAAAGCAAGAGAAAGATAAATGCAAAAAATGAATTTATATGAATAGCATTTTGTACGCTAAATTTCTGGAAGAAGTTGTTTGTAAAAGAATTCAAAAGATATTTTAAGAAAGATATTATATTTCAAAATGAAGAAGACTCAAAACAAAGAACCAAGATTATAATATGAACTATTGATGAATTATCCCATGATTGAGTTTTACCTAAAGATGTTGTTAATGGTACATTTGCAAATGTGTGTAAAACCTAAAAGAAAATCGTACGAGAAGAACAATGGACAAATTTTAAGCTGTTCGAAACTACTCAGATCAATGATTCCAACGTTCATCTCCGCAGTATTTCAATCAGAAAACTCCGCAAAATTGTAAGAACTTAGAAGCAATCTTATGATGATCATGTTCAACGGTCGACTCTGCTCGATTACGGCCACTTCCCATCGGAAACAGAAAAAGGCGACCACCGTATCTGAATATCGTTTACCTACTTCCGACTTTCTACTATGTTCTAGAATCTTTCAGGCGAATCCAGTCGTACATCATTCATATGAATAGATTGAACTGAGATTGAAAAACAGAGTGACTTGGAATGATTGTAAAAAAAAAATAGTAGATAGAATTCTTAAAAGACCTAGCGAAGTAATAACAAGTGATCAAAAACAAATACATGATAGTTAAATGAGATTTTTGTGTAATTAGATTAATATGTGTATTTATAAAATAAAGGGTTTGTCTGTTTTTTTCTATAAAATATCTTGTTGATCGATTACGAAAAATTTATCATCACACTCTCATGTTTATTTTCTTATTATTATAAGGGAAGTTGTCATTCAATAGTATGTTATTTCCAAGATCGACATGAGTATCCGAAGTTAATCTAGATACATTTGATTAGGGATTAATCACCGTTTGCATATCAATTAATTTTGCCGAGCCTCAACACCTTTAAAGTACCGTGGATATTTCTTTGTATGACAAATCTAAAGGTACCATGTTATTTATACTTCTAATTTGCTTAGTTCAATGATAGATGACATTGATAATTTTATTTATCTGACCTAGAGCTCGTCGGATTGATTCCGAATCCCACCGAGTTGAGTCCGACCCAACAGATCATACTCTAAAAGTAAAAGCCAATTATGACTTGATTCTTATCAAATCATTGTTAAGATTGTCTGGGAAATGTATAGAATGTATTAGTAGCAAAATGCAAACAATCAATAAAAAAATTATCTCGTAGGTTTAAGTGATACTCAGACTAATAATATTCGTTGAAATTAGAATTAATTATCGGTTTGGGTCTAGAGTTCGAAAAAGTTGAATCAACTGGATTCAAATCTGAAACAGGTTTAATAAATTGGTTCCGGCTCCAAAAGTTTTAGGCCCAATGGCCTCTAATCTAGTCTCTCATTCCAGATAGAGAAAAAAAAGAGTGAAAGATGAATAGAATGAAAAACGATAAAAAAGTTATGTAATATCGAAGAAAATAGATATTAGTTGATTCTTGAGAATTATTTTCAGTGTACAAAATCATGAAATTTACTATGTTTAGTTAGAAGATGCTGTTTGAGATTATGTTTAAATATCCAACATCAAATATTATTGTTATTATTAAGACTATTTGAGCAGTTTTTCTTTTTGTTTTATTCAGAAGTCTGCATGACAGAGAATTGATGTCATCGGTGTATGATTTCAAAAAAAAGTTTTTTTAATTGCATGTCTTGAAAAACTCAGTCCGATAGACCTTTGTTTGACCAAGTTATTGTTGAAAAACTAACATTACTGTCGCGACAAAAAGAAAGGACAAATGTTTCCACTGAACATATTTCAATTTACAAATACTGCAAGTTCAAACAGTACTTTTGAAAACTATATAGTACTTTTTGTAGAGGACTCTTCAGGTTACAAAACCTCTACACGAAGTTTTTAAAAAAAGGAGAGATTATTTGTTGTTAGTGGTATGAGTGAGTACACATATAGAAAACAAGAAAAGCTACATGTAACTGAATGAAAAATTCAAAGACGAATTCCAAATGGTAAAGATCTTTATTGGAAATCTCTAGATGACAGTAAAACAAAAAGTTTCATTCAAGAATATGATTAGACTTCTGAAAAACCAATTTGAGATAGGAAGGGAGGCAATTTTTCAGGAATTCAATCTTGGTAAAAATTTTACTATAGATATTGTTTGCCACGTAGGATCTATTCCGAAACTCTTTGAGCTGGTTATCATAAGATTAGAGAGATAGTCGTAGTAATTAACTAATTAAGTTTAATTAGAATCAAAATCAAATCGGCAATGCTGATGTCCCATGCTTGATGATTTTGCTTATACAATAATATATAATGATAGAAATGAAAAAAAAAAAACAAAAAAAACAAAATTTTTGATCTTTTCTAATGTTATTATTTTTGATCTATGTTATGAAGACATGAATCTGTTGAAAAATTCTCTAATCCGAGAAGAAAAGCCTGAAAATATCAATTTTTAGAACTATCAAGAGAATGTTCTTATGTACAATATTACTTTTGTCATTGCTCATTTGTATGCTTTAGAAAGACTAGTATAAATCTGAAGGGTTTGGATTTGTAGAGAGACTTACTCGAAAAGGTAGATGACGATTCACAAAGAAATCTTGCATTCTGCTTTTACTTATTTAATTGTGAAATGCTTTTTAGACGTAAACCAACTCTTGTCACTAAGATGTAGTAGATCATTGCAAAAGGTTCGCTTTATACTTCATCACTATTGAGAGAAAAGGAACACAATCATTCTTGCTAGTTCAATACTGGTAATAGTTAACTAAAGCTATCAATTTGACATCGAGATTTTTCAATAGAACTAGAACATAAATATATAGTTGACAGTCATAACTTCTTTATTGATTGTACATATAAGAGATGTACCAGAATAAATTGCACTAAATCTTGCTGTCTTTTTTTCGTACTGTATCAAGCTGTACAAAATTGTCAACTTTGTTTTTCAAACAAGTTTAACTTTGTCAGTGCGAAATTTAAAAGATTTACGTCTACTTAGTCATTTTACTGCAATTTTCTATTCTCTGCTGACGCTTATCGATTTGTGTACAGTCATTGCTCATTAAAGCTGATGCTAAAAATAAATTACTTAATACTAATAGATAGAGAATTTTGTGCTCTATGCCTCAACGACCTTTTCAAGGTTCCCAAAGTCGATGTTCACGTGAAAAAGACTTGGAAATGACAATTGTCAGTATTTTTGAGTCCACTTAAGAAAATCATGTTTTCAACAGTCAAATTTGCTTTATGAAATATTTATTATCAAGCTGTCGAATGTAGGATTTAATTCTGAACAAAATGATATAAATATCAAATTGAACCATGAAAAGATTGAGGCTATTTCAAATTAGAAAACAATAATGACATACGTCTACCAGACTCGTTATATGCTCAGCTTTTTTGCGATGTTCAAGTTTCAGCTAAAATACTATAGAAATTCTAATTATTCTTATATTTGACTAGAGTTTACATACAAATATAATAGAATGGCAATAATATATGTCTCATCTAGCAATGTTTGGGCGTACATTGTAAAAAAAATTCCTAAAATGATATCTAAAACTATTCGCATAATTTGCAAATATTCTCAAAACTTTAGTCGTCCATTTAATTAAATTTCAGCGCCAACAATAATTGAATCTTTTTTTTCTTTGTACGTAATTAAAAAATGTCCTTTGCACTTTTAAGAATATCATTTCTATGTATATTCTCATGTCTTATTTATTATACTTTTACCTTGAAATGTTATGATTGTACATATTGCCCTTATCCATGGTCAAGTTTTGGTATACAAACATATGGATCTATTCTTGGTATTTTCTCACGTGTTAAATCTTGTTATGCAAGTTTATTTAATAAAATAAAAATTTATTTTATTTTATTTTATTTTATTTTATTTTATAGAAAAAAGAATTTTATAATGCTATAGATCGTCGACTTGATAGAGTTGTACGTGGTGCACTTGATAGAGAATGTCAAGAAGGAAAATTGGAAACACAACATGAAAGATCAATGACATATTGTTGTTATTCCAATTATTGTAATGGAACACTATCTAAACAGCTAATAAATTATATTCTTATGAATATAATTGCTCTTTTAATACTTATTATATTCATTATAAAAGAATAAAAATTATTTTTAAGTATTTTTTTTTTAATGAAAAAAAAAATTCAATTATTAGATACATAATTGAAAGTGTTGTCGGAGAGGTATAATGGAATTTATAATGAAGATAATCTAAGAATTTGAAATAAGATTCTGTTAAGAAGATTTTTCTGACATCTTATACTTTTAAATTTAGATCGAAACAAATTGTGCGACATGAGTACATTCAAAGATCAAACTTTCTTTCTATAACGATTCGAAAAATTTCATAGAAAATTTATTTGATAATAAAATAAAATTCTGTTACTCAAAATAATTAAGTAATATTCTTTAATAGAATAATTGTACTTAAAATACTTCTTTCTTTCAAGATCGAAGAAAAGTAAGTATTATAAATATATAAACATAGTTGATAAAGAAAATAATGGTTCATTTAAGAATAAAATATTATCAGTATTTTGATTTAAAGAAATTTCTTTCATAAGATATTTTACACTTGTCAAAAGAAGAGTTTCTTTACATCATATTATTTAATAAATAATTTATAGCCTTCAGTTCACTGTATTTGACATGAACAATGAAAAAAACTCTTTTTTTCTCCTCCTATAAATGTTTTATTTTCTCCGCAAAGAAAATAATTATAAAATCAAGAGGATTTCTCGGTTGCTGGGAATTTGCACTTGAAGGAGGATTCTTTTGACACTTGTTTTTAATGATTCATAAGGTGTCATCGAGTAACTTTTAAAAAGGTTGTTTTTCACACATTCGAGCTATAGTTTTTGTAGAGAAACTTAGAAAAATTAGATTTAAAAATGAACAAAGTCCATCAAAACACTGCAATACGTCCAAAGCATACAGCCTCAGTAGTCTTAATATTTATCCAATATTTTCTTTTGGTTTTACTCGCCATATGATTATGAGAAAAAAATTATTTCATCGTTGAAAAACTCTATTTTTCGATATGATAATAAAACACCATAAATATGGATTCGTATGTATAAAGAGATTTTGATCATTAGAAAAATCTGCATTTATCTGACCTATGAATTCCCTACGGTCGAAATTTGACGAAATTAATGAGTCTTTTTTTCAAAGTTGATTTTTCTACTAACTCTGGATATGAATCAGTTTTTATGATGGTTTACTATCATATCGAAAAATCGATTTTTCTCAACAATGAAACAATTTTTTTTTTCTTAATCATATGACGAGTAAAAGCCAAACGGAAATATCGAATAAATATTGAGGCTATCGAGACTTGATACTATTGACATATTGCAGTTTTTTTTTACAGACTTTTCTTTTTTTCTTAAACCTAAGTTTCTGTGCAAAAACATTGTTCGAATATATGTGAAAAACAAAATTTCTAAAAATAACTCGACGAGATCTATTGAACCATTAGAAAAAAAAAGCATCGAAAAATGTTATTCAGAATTTGATTTGTCGACACCTTAGGTTGTTTTTTTAAAGACAAAATCGAATGTAACAAAGTAGCAAGACTTGAAGTGAGCGAGGCAAGAAAAATAAGAATGCACCAGATGCAAGACAATGAGAAAAAACATATTGTTTGACTTGGAACAAACAATTGTAGTTACATTCTCTATGATTTTTTTAGCATATTATATTATTAATCCGATCAATCAAAGCAACGTTCAGAAAAAATGAATAAAAAAAATGACATTCATCGGCTGAATCAATCAAAACACGAGTATTCAAGAGTTATTTTTTAGATTTAATGCGAATAAATTCTGAAATAATATTCTATAAGACGGGGACCGACATTAGACTAAACTTGAGAGTACTACAGAGCGGAACTACTACAAAAGAAGTTATCGAAATTGGTACTTAAAAAAACTTTGTTCCGCAAATCTCGAGTAAAGATATATTGCATAATGTAAATATTCTAGCATGTTATAAAAGCTCTGTAATATTTATTGTCTATTTAGTTGAATCATAAGATTATTAAATTATGTTCGATATTTAAACGTCATTTTATATTATCTGACAAACAAATGATGAACTACTGATGTTACTTATGAAGACATTTAAAGCATTTCTTGTTGTTGTTGTTGTTTTTTATTATATTCTGTTTGCCTTAGCATTCAAAATGAATTTAAGCATACCATCTTATAATATTTTACTATCGATCGAGGTTTTATGATCTCTTTATTTTAATTTTTATAGTATTGCGTAGAAAAAAAAAAGACCCAAACGAAAAATATATTGTTGTTGATGCCCTTATAGTAATCCGAAGAATATGAATAGAGAAAAATATAGAGCAAGTCTTGAAATTGACTTTTTCTTAAAAGGAAATATAGATAATGAGAACAAAAACCTTTTACATCAAAGCTATTTTACGGATGAATGAACATTTAAGATATGTTAATGATGTCAATCTTTTCTATTTAATTACGTGTTTCTAAATAACTATTTTAATATTCTGAAAATCATTTTTCAATATTCAGAAACCGAAATGATAAATCATTTGTGGAAGTTGCTATTTTCCTTTTCCGCTTCCTTTTCTTTCATATTTTTATCGTAATTTTCTAGTTAATTTTGTTTTTTTTCTATATGACTTGATAGAGATTGTTCTATATATAGGAGGAAGGGAAAGAAAAAGAAGAACCAAATAAATGCAAGATATGAGAATCGCTTCAGGAAAAAAACGCAATGACGTTAATAAGAAAATGGAGAAAGAATGAATAACATTAAACTTGGTCAGAAGAATACTTTTTCTTTTCTTTCTAGAATATAATTATCATTGAAAAGTTCTATTTATCTTAAATGAAATAAAAACAAATGAATGAAACGAAATATTTTCTTACAAATCAAACATCAGCGTATACTCATAGTACATTTATACAATATTTACAATTAGTTTATGTACCCTGTTTGGCTTTACTTGGTATATGTGGAAATATCATATGTGCAATTATATTTAGTAGTAAATCATTAAGGTAAATATGAAAGAAATCAAAATACAAAAAATTTTTTTTTGTGTTCAAATAAATTATTTTCTTTTAAAAGACGTGTTCGTTCCTCATCATTTTTATTCGTACTAGCAATATCGGACGTTTTCTTTTCATTTGATCTTTTACCTGGTTGGATAAATACTTGTTTTGTTCGATCATTATATTATGGTGCAAATATTGTATGTAAAATTCAAACATATATAGCATTTGTTGCTTCATTTTTACATATATGGATGGTGCTTGCATTTACAGCAGAACGTTTTTTTGCTGTTAATTTTCCTTTAAGACATATGTCGAAATGTACACCAACCGTTTCTCATACAATTATTTTAATGATTGTTATACCAGTATTGTTATTCTATATTTATCCATCATTTTTTGCATCAGAAATTGACATCTATGGACAATGTCGAGAAAAAGAAAATCATGTGCATTATTTAAAATATATTAATATAATTGATACAATAATGACAATGTTTTTACCATTTATTTTTGTATCAATAATAAATATATTAATAATAAAAAAATTATTTTGTTCAAATACATTTCGACAACATGTTTTTGAAAATGGTTCAAGTTATCAATATCGACGAACATCATATTGGACACCATATGATACAAATTCAATAAAAAAACAAGAAAAAATGAAAATTTCTGTTGATAAACCATCATCAATAATACATAGAAAACGACATTGTAATGAATCAACTCGACGACATATTTTAACAGAATTACGTTTAACAAAAATGCTTTTAGCTATATCATTAACATGTCTTTCATTAAATTTCCCATCATATTATTTACGTTTAATCATATTTTATGAACAAACAAAAGATAACTTAAAAACTAATGAAAATTTTAGTGTTTTTACTCTATATAGAGATGTCTTATTACATTATATGTCTTATTTAAGTTATTCAATTAATATTTTTATATATATTTTATTTGGAGCTAATTTTCGTCGTGCATTAAAAAGAATATTTTTATGTAAAACAACATTTAATTCAAATTCATTAAAATTGAAGTCATGTACTAGTGATAATGAAACCAGTTGAATATGATTATTCTATTGAAGAAATGACTGCATCATTAAATGGTTTATTGCGTCATTATTCAAAGTCACTTAAATCATGGCAATGAACTAATTTTCGTTGAGAACTATATCAACGAGAATTACTAATGAAATTGTGAGATAACCTAACATCACAATAAACTTCCGGTGGTTGTTGTTTTTTTTTAATGTCTATTATATTTGAGTTTCTTTTTTGTTTTCTGATGAAGTGCAAAAAATAAATGGCATTTAATTTGTCATAGTGACATCAGAATAGTTCAGATTTTTGACTTGACATCGACGAAGTCTTAGTTGAGTTGTTCACAGATTAAACAATATGACATCTTTCAAAAGAAAATTAGAAAAAGCTTATAGATATACAAAAAAAATCCTTCACCAAAGGAAAAAAATATAGAATCTTAAAATTATTTATTATCCATTAATCAACATCAGTCATAATCAAAAATGATATTAATAATTAATCTACTACGATAACAATGATTAAATAACAAAAACAATTCATTTATATGTTTTAATATCATTTGAAATTTGATTTCAATAATTTGGAAAAGAAGTTACTATCATATGATTATCCGCAAAATCATTTGTTCAATTATTTTTGTTACATTTTTAACATTAACTATGTATCATTCCAAAAATGTTTATGACATTCATAAAAGAAATTTCTTATTAAAATATTTAGCAAATATCAGTGAATCTGAATTAAAGACAAAACAACAATAATTATAAAAACATATTCATACATGTAGACACTCTCATTTCATCGATTATATTATCTAAACCTGACCAAGATGATTTGTTTTTCTTAAACTTATTGACGTTGATTCTTCAAGTGTAAAATTAAGTACACATGCATAAAATCTATCATCAACCGACATTTTAGACATACATAAAAGAGTTAAAGTAGTTGGTCAAATTAGCCTCTTCCACCAAGATAAAAACAATCAATTTTAATTCGGTATAAAGCATATATAGTTAGGAAAAAATCATGAGTGATATGACGGATACGACATAAAATAGTAGGCGTTTATAAGCTAGATTAATATTAAAAGTATTTAAATACAATATGATAAAATTTTTAATTAATTTTTTTTAGCTTAATTAATTCGAAATTTTAAGATATAAATCATTTTAATAAATCGAAATTTAATTCTTTCGATAAACTATCATGTATTACATTTGTAACAATATTTATTCCTCTATTACGTAATTGATTAAAATTTCTGTAGATGTAGGCATGTAATAGAACAATCTATAATATTCATTTCTCTTGTTATTCTTTGTATAAAATAAATAATTATTCTCTAACAAGAAGAATATTAGAAAATTTTTATTCTATTATCGAAATAAAAGTCATAATAAATGCGGATACAGAATATGATTAAGAAAATACCACATGCATGCGATTTATGTATTTAAAAATGTGACTTTTTTTAGAATCAATTATAGTTGTTCAAAAATACTTTATTGAAGAATTTATCAAAGGAGAATGTATTAATGCAAGATAAATCCTTGTAATTTTTGTTTCATATGCTATGTATGTTTTATAATTAGCAAGATAATTACAAGCTTTTCAGTATAATTATCTATTTATGGCATGAATACTAAAAATAAATAATTAATTTTATTGTAAATATTTTTAGAAATACTTTTCTTTTAATGAGACTAATAATAGAAATAAAGTCGATGATAATATCATACAAGACATGAATGTTATTAAAAATAAACTTCGAATAATCATATTATCTTGACATGTTAGAATTCAAATTTTAACTGAATAATTCTAAAAAGAAAACAAACGAACGATTCAAGAAAAATCTATGATCAATGTTTTACCTTTTCTGTAGTATAGTTGAGATTTACTAGTTTCTAGTTTAGTTTGATTTAGATGATAAATATAAATAAGGAGAATTAAAGTTAATGAAGTATTTACATAGGATAATGTTGAAAGTATAGATAATTATGATTATGGAATATTTAATCAAAGATTAGTGAGTTGAAATTGATTGTAACGGGACAGGCAAGCATGGATTGTAGTTTTCTAATGTTATGAGTCGTTGATGAGTTGTTGTCAAAGATGAGATGGAAAAGATATCGTATTTATCTTTGCAGATATCTTTACAGGGTAGACAGCATGTTTTCTATCTTTAGAATACAAGAGCATACAGATATCTCGAAATAAATCATTTCGTCTTTTTATATATATGATAATGTTTACATACGATTCAAGTCAATAATTTCAGATTGAATTAGAAGTTTTTTTATTGATGAATACCAAATAAATAGTGACATGCATAGCTGGCTGATGGATCAAAATTAGATTCAATGGATTATAAAAACAACTACAATTTTGATCTAATTCTGATGTATGAGGCAGTTTTTGTCAGATCAAGATTCTGCTTTCCAATATGTTACTGACATATCTTATTAACTCGTTATCTCTCCCCTCCTCATAGCGATTCCAGAAGAATCATTGATGAAACAACCATTGGGAATAGAATATTAATGTCTCCAATATATCACTCGTATGGACAGATCGATCGGGCGCATTCTCATTTGTGCCGGCAGTTTCGTTATTCTAGTGACCATTCGAGAGGAGAACGTCTTGACAAAAATTCAATATGGGTTTTTTCGTATAGAGATGGACAAGCCAGCTTTTTTCTGATACAAGTCAAGTCTCAAGTCATTGACTTGAACGTTTTCAACTTTCATAATTTATTTATGTAGCAATTTACTAAAGAAATAAAAAAACGTCAGTCTCTGATTACATTGTAACATAATTAATATTTGAAATGCTTTTCTTGACATTTTGACCGTATGTTGTCATAGTAGAAAAACTACTTTGAGAAAATATTTTTTCTCCAGATAATGACGTTGCAGGCATTGTAAAAATCTTCCTTGGCAATTTGTTTAATGATTTATATTTAATCAATTAATTTATGAAAATAATTCTATTCCAATGATTATCATTATTCTTAGGATAATTAGTAATTTCATCGTTTATAAATAAAACATTATCAACTTTTTGTTTTTTAATATTGCTCTGTTTAATCTTTAAGAAAAAACTTTTGTGCTTTGATATTAATTATTGTTGATAATTGTTCATCATCCGTAAGATTTGTTTCAAGTGTTGTTATTGACTAATATTTATGTTCAAGTATTATTAACAAATCGAATTTTCATATTAGAATAAAAAGCATAACTTTATACAATGTGAATCTAACATGCATGTTAGGTACCAAAATATGTTTGACTTGACTTGTAGTTTTTGTCAAGTCGAAAATGACTTGATTTAGTTATTTCTACTTCCGTAAATATGATGTAGTTCGACAGAAAAAATTCGTAAAGAGCTCAGGGACGTCTCATTTTGTAGAAAATGGTTTGCTCTACAACTTCATAAAATCAGTACTGGCCATTCTGTGTTTTAAGTCTATCGATTTTGTAATTCATCTTGTTCGAAAATGCAGCAACATAAAACAAAATATTTTCTTATCAATTGATAGTTTATGGAGTTCAATAAAAGACACGTTCCCAAAGTTTTTTAAAAGTTCTATGCTTATTTTTCTTTTTGTAATTGTTTCACACATGATCACTCAAGTGACCAGGAAAGGGTAAAGGGTTAATCAATATAACAAAAGTATAGTATGATAAAATTCAATATTGAAAACATAAATCTAATGTCTACTGATTGTCTGGTAACTTAAATGAGGTATTTATTTGTACAGTCATATGTACCCGATAAATAACTTCAACTTTATACTTTTTTCCGAAAATTCCATATGTAATTTTTCTTTTATTGTTATAAGATTTTTCGTTCTATAAAGACTATGAAGAATTTCAAGGACTTGTTAATTTTGAAATTATCAAATGCATAATGATTTAAACCATATGCAGTATACAGAGCGTCTTGGAAGTCTGTGAAAAAAAAAACAAAATATAAATAACTCTTCAACAACTCAATCGATTTTGTTGAACTTTTCACTATTTCATAGGATATACTCCAAAGTTTTATTTGACATATTTCAGATAAAATGTCTGTGTCTGTAGACATTAGAATAAAAATAGTTTTTTTGTTTTTGTAATAACCAAATTCGAGTCAACTACAAGTTTTAAAAACAAGAGCTGTCAATCAAATTTGACAAAGAAATACGAAATGGAAATTTCATTAAAGCTGTCTAAAGACACTCTTATGAAACTTACACCATAACACATCAGTCACATTTCGGGCAACCTAAAGTAATTACTTGAGACAAGTCAGCAAAGTCCGATTGTCTTTTAAAAATCTATCAGCATCAAGAGCCCAGATGGCTGCAAAATTTTCTTTAACAGCGCAAACAAAACAATATTGAATTATAATAGAAATCTTCAATATTTCAATAGAATGGAGCTCTACCGAATTTCAACAGTGAGGTACTCCAGTATACAGACAATATTTCTCATTCATGATGAGCTGAAAGAGATGGTTTGATTCGATGGGCTCTACGTTCTTGCGAAAATGTTTGAGACATCCTGTATAAAATAGTTATTGAGACATTTGTTGTTTATCTTTTATAGCGCTCTTATGTCACATCAAAATAATTTTAATTATAACTCATGTGATAGAAAAATGTTTTTCCAAGAAACTATCTATCGCATACTCAACCCCATCATTTTGAAGAGAGTGTACTTTCCTACAAGTCTCTATCTTCCAAAAGAACCTTTGATATCATTTTCCTCTTAAGAGCGCTCCATCTTGTGAAAATCGATTTTGGACCAAGTGTATTAAAGTCGCATGAGGTTTTCAACATATGTTTGAACTATAGTGAAGAAGCTATGCTGAAATTTTCAGCTCTATAGCATGATGTTTTCTGGATATATTCACCAAAGAAGAGTCAATAATAGCTCATGTAGCAACCATAAATTCTCTGTAAATCTTCATTCTATATATTTAATTTTCTTTTTGCTTGAAAGAGCATTTAAAGTTGTAAAGCTTGACGGAGGCGTTTTCTCGAAGTTCTTACTTTTTTTCGGAAGAAAAGCATGATTAAGTTAATACCTCCAAAAAACTCTCTAAAAATAGTAATTAATTTATAGAAGTGCCTTCTCATATAATAAAAATAATGCTTAATTTAAAAAATGGGCATTAATGACACTCTACAGCTAAACATGCTCTGTCAAACAAAAAAAAACAAATTAAATATATATAGAACAGGGATTTTTTTGGTAGATTTGAAGAGAATAGTCATACAAACTGTCATATATTTCTGTAAGTGTGTATCAATAAACTGTTTTTTGTGGCTGGTTGAACTTCATTTGTTACGTAGATTTGTTTTCTACGACATAATCGTAGTGGTTCTGATCAACAATGTGCTAATACGATCAACTATATGTTACTTTAGCGTGTTTTCGTTACAAATTATATTCACCATAAACATTTTCTGTGGTTTTTAGAGAAGATCTGGAGTAGCAGTATGAGGTCTGGATGTTGTGAGGTGAAGATAAGACCCATACTCTGACAAATCGATTTTTTATGCATAAGATGATGGAAATCTTAAAAAAGTCTTAACCCACAAATTTCGACACTTTAAAGGGATATAGACCTTATGAAAACAAAATTAATGAAAGACCCTTACAAGAACTTAACTGTATTTGAATGCATATTTTACTTGATTAACTTTGAAGATGAAGTATACGATTCTATTCAGTTTGTTTTCCTCAATTGAATGATAGTCCTTTAGTTAAACTTGCATTTGATTAAAACTGAAAAATTTAGATTTTCTATAAAGCTGAAAGGAACTTCGGGCTTCTCGAGGTCTTATCCATATGTTTTTCGATTGTCATGTATATCAACATGTAGAAAACTTTTATTTTTATTACTGAATGAGTTATAAGTGAAAATAATGTTTTGTTTAAGCGACTAAATAATTTGTTGAAAATGCTCGAAAACTTATAAAAGTCTTCTTGAAAGAAAAGTTTTGTCTCAAAGAATAAACGTGTGACTTCGCCCTATCGAATAGTATAATCAACATTGAGAAAATATTCTCTATTCGTTGTATCGATTGCTTTACAAGATAAATCTTACATATGTCTAAATTAGAGATGCTAAATCGTAAGAACTAAACCTTTCTTGAGCAAAAGAATCGAACTCGAGAATTTAGACAAGTTTCCTATAGAGTCAGATTCTTGAACCTCGAAAATCAATAGTATGTTTTTATAAAAGTTAGCTATTTTCTTAAAAAGGAAAATACAAAAGAGACAACCGAAAATATGACATTCGTAGACTAAATTAATCGAAACACGAGTATTTACGACGTTCTTAGATTTAATACCAACAAATTCTGAAATATTTTTCTCTAAACTGGGATTAGAATCAGACTAAAGTTAACAGGATTATAAACGAGATCACTGAAAAAGACTTACTATCGCACTTTACTAAATACAAGACTATTTAATAAAATCCTACCCATGCTACCTGTTTGTTCGCACTATCGTAGCATACCACGCTAGAATGGCGGTCATAAAACAGTCAATCACTTAAGTATCAAACTATCGTTGTTTGATTACTGGTATAACACATGTTATACCTAACGATTCATAGATGTTTTTTGTTCAGTTTGGATAACAACATGAGTAGATGTCAACAAAACAAATTTAAATCTCTAAAACCATAATGTGAGTAACCAGATGTAAAAAACGCAAAATATTTCTCATAGGAAAACCTGATTTTCGTTAAAAAATAGTTTTGGAAATAAACATATGAACATGTCCTTTGAGTTGCCTTATATACGAATTTATTAAAATAGTTTTGATTCTCGAAGGTTTTTAGAGATTTTATGAATAATTTTTGCAATTATCTGGACAAACAATGGTATCTAGAACAATCAGTAGATTGTTTTTTGTCAAGTTAGATCTGCAAAATAAACAAATATTTTTCTCAATATACTTCCTTCTAGAGAGCTGTGTTTCTTTTTTAATCAACAGATGCATATATACATATTCCTTTAGATGAGTAAAATGAACTTTCTAATTATTCGTCAATGCTAGATAAGTCTTGAATTTCCAAGAAAACCATGCCTAGAAATTTCAGATTTTTCAAGTTTCGATGATCGAAAAAAATGAAAGAGAATAAAATTTAAAGAAAAGCTTTTCCTCCTTCATCCTAAGTAGTAAGAAGTTTTCTTTTTGAATGAAAGTAATCCAAGCTCTGTAGCTTGATTTCTAGAAATTCTTCAGAATCGTAAATTATGGATGCGTGAAATTTTTTTATCAGTGTACTTTCATGAATCAAACGTCTATGGAAAGTTTCATTACTATCTCATGTATTCTGTCGATGTTAGATTTTTTAGGAGAAGATCTTGAAACGCGAAAGATCATATTTGTAACCATTATTAAAAGTGAGCGCTTATAAAACTTCATGATTTGTACTTCGCAAGCTTTCTATTTGTTCATTTCAATTTTACATAGATGATTGCTAATATAAAATAAAGGTAAGTTTGTTCTAAAACCAAACATTGATTCATTATAGGAAAAGGCAATTCATTTTCTGGTAGATAATCTTTATTGAAAATTGCTGAAAACACAATAATCGTTCGCTTTCAATAATTAAACAAATATGACTTTATTAGAAATGTAAATTTGTAAAAATACATTCATCAACCATAATCAATTAAAATTGAATTCCACAAACCTTCATAAAACAAAAATAAATTCTTTCTTTTTTTTTTTCATCTAGATGACGCTAAAATCATTGATATTAATAAAGCGACATATTTAAATAAAAGAATTTCTTTCCAATAATTTTTTTTTCTTTTTATATAAAGAGAATCTTAAATATATTTACAAATGATTAATACATGTTATATAAAGTGTTAAATAGTTGTTAATATCCAATGAGAATGATAAAGAAATAAGTGACTGACTGATGATGCCTTGGTAGTTCTTCGTCTTTTCATCACTATCATTTCATATAGCAAACGCATTTTTGTATGTTTATTTCTTTTATATCGTTCTTTAAATAATCATTAAATAGGTTAAATATCTTTTGATTATTATGATAAATAATAATATATTTCTGTTTTTTTTTCAGATGAATAAATTTTTATTTTAGTGATGATTAATTTCAAAAATGGATCAAGAACGGTAAAATAAGAAAAAACAAATAATTTATTTTTTTGTTCTAAAATTTTCAATTTTATTTATAAATATTGTTTGTGTATAGTGTTTTTTCGTATTTGAATGATCCCGATTTACCTAATGGTTTGTGTTAGATTTCTTTTTTTCTTAAATTTTAATTTTTTTCTTTTATTATTAATTTCTTTTTTTCTATTCTGTAGGACTTGAACAAAAAAATGTTATTATTCAAAGAGATCGTTATGGATATGGTCTAACAGTTTCTGGTGATAATCCTGTTTTTGTATTAAATGTACGAGAAGGTGGTGCTGCTCATCGAGCTGGAATTAATATGAATGATCAAATTATAAAGGTAAAATTATGAGAAATATTTCTGAATGTTATTACTATTATTGTTTGAATTGATAGAACAAATTTTGTTGAAGTATTATAATTCAATCTAATTTTATAGTTCTAAATAGTAACACATGTTGTTTTATTAAAAGAGATGATGTTCAAAAATCAATAATTGCATTTGTCAGCTACATTAAAAAAAAATAATAAAACAATGTTTTTTGCTTGCTTATGAATTGTTAAATATCCATTAAACATTTTTCATTCAATTATTCTCCAGTCATAGTGTTTCTTTTCTTAAAAATAAACAGAATTAATATTATAACAAAGTAATATGATCATTACGATTACCTTCATAAATGGTTTTTTTTCTTGTTTCTACATCTATGCATGTCCTTATTTTTTCATTTATTGATATCAATATCAAAATGCTCAGATTTTGCAATACAATTAGTATATTATTTTGAATAATAAAATTCAACATTGATTAGATTTATTTTATCATAGAGATATATGTCATTGTTTGTCATTCTTTTTTTCTGTTATTTAGTAAGAATAATGGAAGTGATTTGTTTGAACAAACAGGGGATTGTTTAATGACTTAAAAGAAAACAATCGATGAATTTTGTCGTATAAAATGAGTTATGTTTTGTTTTCTTACTAAATCGTTGCGGTCGAATACCAGTAGAAAGTAATGCACCTGTTTTATATAGAATAAATTGGACACATGGTATCTATTTTTTATGCATCATGTATTTTGATTGATTCGTTTATTGAATAAACGATCAAAGAAATATAGTTGTATATAAAAATATAATCTACTTCTTTTGATAATAGAATTATAGTTAAATAACAAAAGAATGTTATTTTAGTTTGCCATTTTAATATTAACATCATCATGCATCAATTTCATCTATAAAAAAAAAAAAAAAAAAAGCATATGCTTAAATTTATAAACGATTGTAAAATAAAGTCTTGTTTTTTTTTGTATTTGATAAAAGATTAGATTTATTACATCGATTCAAACAAAAAAATTCTTTTAACTTTTTTTGAAGACATAAAAATTAAATTTTTTCAAATTTTTCTTTCAGGTTAATGGTACGCGTGTAACGCATTGTACACATATTGACGTAGTCAATCTTATCAAATGTAAGTTTGTTTCTATTTCTTTTAATTAATAAGAAAAGACGAGCAGTTGTAGAAACCAATTCTTTTTTTTCTTTTGGAACTTAAAACTTCTTGTATATTAATGTTTAATTAAACAACATACAGAACATATATGCTTGATCAGTCGGGAGCCAATCAATCTTTGTCTTGTATGGTTTTTATATATTGCCATATGGATTATTTGTTTTTCTCTTTGACCTTGATTAATCAGATATTATTGACATGATCTAAAAGATTTCTATGTTAGTCAACTAATCATATATATTTCATTAATTTTTCATTGGTAAAATAAGGACATATTTTTTTTTCTTTAGTTAAATTTATATATATATATATATATATATTTGTTAAGACCTTTTGAAAGAAAGAAAAACAAAGACATTATATATCAAATTTTTGTTAGTTTTTCCGATTGTTTATATTTTCTGTCTCAATTGAGGAAAGACTCGAATCAATTTTTTCCTCTCTGTACATATAAATACATATACGCATAAATCAATCCGAAAAATTCTTTCTTTTACTCTGTTTGTATATACATATATATATATATCGAATGGGAGGAGAGGGCCTTGATGGTATATTTCTTTCTTTCTCGTTTGGCATCGTCATTATAGATAATTTCTTTTGTTATACATACAAACCATATGCTTGGGCAATGTTTTTGTGTATTGAAGATTAATAATTTATCATTCTGACGACAACATACTACTTGATTGTGCCGAAAAGGAAAAGCTACTTTCAAGCGGAATGATGTCATAATATTGAACATCATTTCTACGTCTTATTCGATATATCGCAAAAGCAATTGATTGAAAAAAAAAGTATTCAATCATTTGTTTCAAAACGTTTTAGGTTTTCCGAGAAAAAAAAAAGAATAACATAAAATGTCCGCTGCAATATCGGTACGTATACCAGCTGGCAAATTAGGTACAGTTCGTGTTGATCGAACAGTCGATGTTTATCCAGTTTCAATAATAAATAATGAAAATATATCGAATGTAAAATTATATATTCCAAAATTAAAACTACAACGTCAATTAACAGCAACAGCAACACCATTGTCTAATACAAATTCTGAAGAAGCACATAATTATAATCCAATAATAAAATCAAATAATCAGAAGTCTTCTAATGATGAAGATATATCTGATATAGCTATTATTTATTCAGTTGTTCGACGTTCATCAATTCGTCGAACATCATCACCAAGATTATCTGTTTTACCATTATCAACAGATTTTAATATTACTCAACCATATATAGCTAAAAGCTATACATTAGAACCACCATCAATACCTATCGTATCTCATGTATCCAAACAATCACAAATAAAAGCCTTATCATCAACACTTTCGAGTGCTACTTTTCTTTCAATATCTACATCATCATCAACAAAAGTAAGTTCATCAACTCATATTCAAACATCAGCATCATTTACAAAAAGTGATCGATCATCAATACCATCAATTGCTATAAAACCTCGACCATATTCATTTCGAAATACAGGACGTAGTGCTCTTGAACGACAAATATCAAATATAACAGAACGTGTAACACAATTACAAGAAACATTTTTTTCTCGTCGATCAAATACATCTAATAATGGACGAAATCGTTCATTATCAAATTGTCATTCAACAATAATTAGTACAAATACGAATGAATCTAATACATCAAATAGACGTTTAATTAGACCAAGACCGAGATCAGAAGCTTATGATGATCATCATCGTGTTTGTGCAGGTAAAACAAAAAAAAACATCTTGTGTCATCATGATCATCATATTTTCAAATATAATTATATTCTGTAAATATTTATATTAATTATATTATATTGACAGATACAGACAAGATTGAATGACATATGGAGGAAAACAAAAAAGATGAGTAGCCATATTCTTACTGTCTTAGACATATCATGTTATTGAATATATTTTTTTCTTCTTTGGTTGTTACTTTGACATTCGGGATATTAATTCTTCTGTTCCGCTGTTAGTTTCCCGTCTATTATCGTTAGTATATTGATGGATGTCTAGAAAGGAAAAAAAAAAGGATTTCGTAATATACATTAGATATCCATCAATCTTTGTCATTTAACTAGGTTTCTTTTTTCTTTTCATAAACTTTATGTATCTTAAAAATAAAAATTCTTTATTTAGCTGGTTCATATGCTCAATTAACTCTTCTTGGACAACCAAAAGTAAATTCAATATCACAAACACAAAAAACAATTCCAGTTGATTATCAAAATGGTCGAGTACAATATCGAACACAAACATCAAATCCTGAACGACCACATAGTACGATTAGTTCAAATTCATTTCAAACAGTATTTGATACAAAAAAAGCACGAGATAATTATGAAAAACTTCTTAAACAATTAGAAGTATTAATTTTTTTTTCTAAGAAATAAAATTTTTGTATTGGTTTTTTTTTGTTGGATTTGAAGATTTCAAAAAAAGAATTTGATCGTCAACGATCAAAAGGTCTTAATCATAATCCAGCAAGAATTTCACAACTTGAATATCAAATAAAACAATATGAACAACAATTAAATAAATTAAAATCTTATTTAGATTCCATTGACGTAAGAAAAGAATTCTTTTTTTTTTCTTTTAAACATAAAATATTTAAATTTTATTTAGATATCTACTGATCCATCATCAAATATACATGATGATAATCGACCACATACATTCATTGAATCATCTACAAATCGATTAAGCACAGTAAGTATAAAAACAAAAAAACAAGAATAATAAATTAAAAAATAGATAAAATTAAAAATTTATCTCCGAAAGTCATTTCTCTTCTTATCCCCACATATATCTCTCTAGCAATCTCATGGTAGTAGTGGTCACAAGAAACAGAATTCATTACCTGAATCAACAGTATTACAAGTTATGACAGGAATTTCACCCTCAATTTCTGTCAGTTCACCATTACACCATATTAAACGTAAATTTCAAAGTGGAAAAACTGAGACATATGATCTTGTAAAGGTAAAATAATTAATAATTTGATCATACACAAAAATCTTTATACACTAATCATTATTGTTTATAAATAGTAATGCACAGAATTTGTTCTTGCATAGTTCTATTGTACAATTGCTTTTTTTTAATGATTCACACATACACACACACGCGTACATTCTACTTTTATTGCTATTAAATGTTTCTACTTTATCATTTCTATTCTTTAAAATTTATTTATGTATTTTTTATTTAGAATTGGGATTCATTGAATACTATTCCAACAGATGAAGCATTTAAACGTCGTGTATGTATTCATGATTCACATAAAAAGAATGATATAGATCTGATAGTTTAAAAAGAGTAGTTTCATTATTGTGATGTCCTCAACATTTTTCTACTCAACTAAACTCGACTAACATAGATTTAAAAATATGAAATACAAACAATAAGATAAACTGTAATTTGAGATAAAATGTGAATCGTTTGTCTGTAAAATTTCTCGAGGAATATTAACAATTCAATAATGATATTCATTGAATCTAAAGCAATAGCCTAGATTTAATCACTCTTTGATATAGATAATAATATTCCGAAAATATCTAAATGAAGTATAAATTTAAGTTTGTATGAAAATATTAGGAAGAAGAGTTTACTCAAAGAAGAAGCTTTAATAATTGCACTAAGACATTCACGAGTCGAAGAGTCTTTTATGAGCTGCTATCCATATGTATATGCTTTAATTGAAAAAAAAACATTAGATTCTACTATTAAGAGATGTTAGTTAATCGAAAAGGTTTTATTGTTGTTTTTGTCACAGAAAATCTCGATATTCATATGAGTTAGATTAGTCTTATTAAGAATTATATATGAAAAAAATGCTGTGTTAAAAGCAAGCTTTTACTGAATAGATGTTCTCGTCAAGATTTAGAATGATACAGACATTAACAGGAAGAAAAAAAAAACATAATGGATGGTTGATGCAAAGATAAATATAACCAGATCTGTTAATCAATATCATACTTGTCTTTATAGAGATCAATTAAAACTAGCTATCCAAAAATGGAAATGGTGCAGTTCTCAGTTTTGATTCGGTTCTTAACTAAATTGATGCAATTTAGATCAGAATATAGATGTGTACGGCATGAAAAATGAATTAACGAGGGAACGACTCTAATTGACATCCGCTGTTTGAAACTGATACTCAACTCATAAAGAGATCTTGGCAAAACTAGAAAAAACCTAAGAGAGTTCATTACCATGAGCTTTTGAAGCCGAATTATGGTTATCTTAATAAATTTTCCACGATATTTACTGAAAAATGACATGACTGAATTTCAACCTAAAAATTTGTTCATAGATAGATCTGATGACATTTAGAATATCTTGAAAGTTTCAGCCTAAAACAACCTGTTCTTTTGTCGAGATATTAAATTTTCAAAAAAATAATCATTTACTATAGATATATCACAACAATTGAATGTACTTGAAAATTCAACATCCCGATTGAGAAACATTTTTTTCGACTACAACTTTCAATATATTCTTAGAATCATTAGACCAAACAATGTGCATAATTCCAGGTCAAAAATTCGCTGTTTGTTTTTCTAGTACATATCTTTCTAGTCTTAAATAATATATTTTCTTGTCTTTCTTGAGGTCTTAAAAAAACAGCATAAACAAACACATTGTATCATTTAGTATAGACGAAGTATTCACATAATGGTCTATTTATACAATATAAACATTTATAACTTATTGGCATCAATGAAGTAAAAATAACCTATAACTGAAAATATGGCTTTATGTATATAATAAATTTGGCCTCTCTCTATTTTAAGAACCAATGGAGTTTTCTTTTATCAAGATTTCATTGATGAACTATGATGGCATAGTTTCTAAAAAAACCAGACACTGTAATTTTCAGATCTCAGGAGCTATTTTTTTAATAATCCCATTTTATAGAGTACAAAATTTTTAATAAAATGAGAGGTCGCCGCATATTCTACAATCTTTCCTTAAAAAGTTAAAATTATCATAAAGCCGTAAAAAGACATTTCTTAAGTCGATTTTTTGATAAATTTACGTTTTTAAGGAAAGGATGTCGAAAATGTGGTGACCCTTCAGTTTGTTTAGAATTTTATGTTCTTTAAAATGGCATTGTTAAAAAAAAAGCTTCTGGAAGCTGAAAACTATCGTGTCCGATTTTTTTTTTGAAACTTTGCTATTATAGTTCATCGATGAAATCTTAATAAAAGAGAACTTCATTGGCTATTAAAATCACTATTTGGATTTAGGCTAGCTACTTAATATTTTAGAAAAAAGAACAAAAATACTTTCTTATGAAACTTTTTTCCAACAGCTTACATAGTTTAAGTGTTTACTAATGGAATTTGAAAAAAAATTTTCTTTTTCGGTTTAATTTAATTTTTGGAAAAAGTCCAAACAGAGTCTACATCTGTTCACTAGTTCTTATTTCGTATTATGTAGAAGATTCTTGAAAATGATTACAATGTTGTTAGATACTTTTGTTAGTAATTCTTTGTGCTTTTTAGGAATCATATGAAAATTATGATGATAATGCTCATACACTAACATCAAATGTTCAATCAATATCATCATTTGATGATATTCAACAATCAATACATACATCGAATTGGATACCATTAACTATTTTTCTTAATTTTCTACTTACTGATACAAACAGTGATCCAAGTCATTTAGTAAATTTTTGTTTTTTGTTTTTTGACATAATTACAATTTTATTTAATTGATTTAGTTATTTTATATATTAACTGAAGATTTACGTATAAGAAAATCTGATAATCGTAATGAATTAATTCGATGGATATTTGAAATTCATTCAACATTTACAATGAATGGTAGTGTAAGTTATTCAATGAAAATTATCAATAAGATCTTATATTAGTATCTTGTTTTTATTGGGTTTTTTTTTGTAGCCTTTATATATTGGCCTTCCTCAATCACAAACAGACGCTATAAATCGATGGTTAGATATTCATCAACAAGAAACAACTGAAGATATAAAAAATATTTTTAATGATGCAAAAGATTATGCAAAATCAATAATCATCGATCGACAAATAGTAGATTTTAATCATAAACGATCTATTAATATAAATAATGATTTATATTTAAAACAAAATCATTTTATTGAAGAAACTTTACGATCAATATTTGAATATCATTATAAATCATCATATATTGATGATTGGAATAGTATAAAAAATGCTCGAAGCCTTGCATTAATATGTGCATTAGCAACATATTTAAAACGTTGTGATATTAAAAAATGTGGAAACATTCCATTAGAAAAAATTCCGAAATTTCTTGATAAAGAACAAAAACGTTTATTAGCAAAATTACAACGAACAACACCTATGAAAAAAGTATAAATTTTAATATTGAATTAAACATAAAAAAAAGCTTTCATTTTTTAGATTAAAGATCATCAATTAAATGAACATCAGTTTTTAAATGAAACATTATGTCAAGTTTGTTTTAAACCATTATGGGGAATAAATTATCAAGGATATTTATGTGGATGTAAGAAATTTATTTTGAAAATAAATTTAACAATTGGTTTTTTTTTTTTTCATTTATTATTTTCAAAATTTTAGATTGTCAACAAGCATATCATCGTGAATGTGCAGTAAATAGTGAAAAATGTTCAAAAGATCGAGCCAAACTTCGAAAATTTTCAAATAATCGAAATCCATCAAGTAAATTGTTTTGTCTTTATCTATTTATTTCTTTTTTCTGTTGGTTTTACTACGAGAATTTTGTTACAGTTGCCATATATTATTCACTATCAGGATCAGTTTCCGCTGATAATCTTATGCAAAATTTATCTGTTATACCTACTTCATCAACACAATCTCGAGGTTTTGTACGACGTTCTGTTGGTGGAAGTAGTACTCTATTTCATGGGTTTATGACGAATATAAACGGTACTTCATCAATGAATCTAATTTATGTTTGTTGTATAGGAAAATTAATAGTACACATGTAGTATCTGTCTTTTGCTTTTTTTTTCGTCAATCTGTTTGTTTTGTGTGATTTTACCACTTCACTATTTTTATATTTATAATGTTGAAAATAAGTTAATTTATTATTTTATTGTATGATTTTAGGTCCATCGAGAACTACAAGTATGATTGAAGGACGAGAAGGAAGTGTTCGTAAGTTTTAATTAAAATTGAAAACGATTTCCGTGTATTTATGAATCGATATTTATAGCGAATGATACATCTGAAATGATACCCGGTTCAAATGAAGGAATTGGTAAGTTGTTTTTTTAAAACACAAAAGATCGTTGAATAAATTCCGAAATGAATGAAAGTTTTACTCTGAGATTCTATCTGTTAAAGTGAATCATTAGAAGAAGAGGAAGAAGAAGAAGAAGAAAATGGAAAGACACATGTTTAGTGCAATACTGTCAGATCTAGATTATCATGTTTATTTGTAGCATACGACAACGATCTTAGAAGAATATATGTCAGAAGGCAGTAATAACAAACAGAAGACAGCTTTAGCAGAAAAGACTATACTAAGAAAGTTCTAACAATCGTATATGAATGAAGAAGGTAAAGATTATAACATATAACATTTTCTTTTCATCAAACATTTCAAAAGATGTTCGTTTTATTAATAATAACAGACAGCTGCTAATGGCATTTTAAATATGACTTGCTTAAACAATTTGCGAAATTTTTTTTTAATCATTACTCAACACAATTTGCTTGATTATCTTTTTATTCGTGGATCACGATCTAAAATGGGTGTTTAAGTATAGAGGTAGAAATTTGGACCCTCTCCTGATAGACATTGTTGATATACGATCACAGACTGTATATCAATAACGTCTCGTCATAATCATTGTATGAACTACTTTCTTATTGCGTTTCTGAAGAGGAATGATAAAGAAATATGTCTCAAAATAGATTGCATAAAATAATCTTCCTGCAATTAGCAACAACAGCTATGTTGAGTTTCATATATTTATTCTTCCAGGAGATTTCGCCAACAGCTGTTTGTTTTTGATAGGAAATAAAAGATTCTTTGAAAATATTTTATTTTTTATAGATCCAACAGATGGAAATGTATCGACTGCTGAACAGAACAAAATTGCAACGTAAATCATAACTATAAAATAAATAATAAGAATAATAATAATTTTTATTTGAATAGAGTCGGTCGATGTTCGAGTGATCGTCGAGCAGCACCAGATCGACCAGCTGCACCGAAAAATCGTTCAAGCAGGTATATATATATTCATACAATTATTTAATTTTTCTTTGAAAATTTAAATCGAATGTTTTTCAGTGAAAGCAACAATAGTGATGAGGGGTATTGGATTTTGTTTAATAATTTTTCTGATTCCCACCTGCTATTTTCATATGTGCATGATATATCAACTAAGAGAAAGAGAGAAAGAAAAACAGGTGAAATTAGTCATTTATATTATTTACATTTTTCTAAATCCATAAATAATTAATTTGTAATGTGTCTCAGAATTAAACTTCTAATTTCTATGTTTTTGATAGGCAGTTGATTGATGCTTTCTTTCTTTTTGTTTTTATTACTATTCATTAAAATAATCTGCTTTTTTCTTTTAAATATTATTGATAAATTTCAAGATTTTAATTCACTTTCTTTTTTTTTGCCAGTAATCCACAAATGGGTGGAAATACAATTGATGA